CCCAGGCCCAGAGGCGGGAAGGAGGGACAAGGTGGGAGGGACGGAAGTGGGCTGGTTGGTTTTTGTTTAGTTTTTAATTTTCTCTCCCTCTGTCTCGTGTTCACTCCTTCGCTGTTCTCGTCTTCTCCAGTGTTACGGCCACTATTGTAACCCGGACCAGAATTTGAGGTATGGCATGGCAGGGAAAGGCATTTCCCCTTTTGCCAATGGGCCAAGGGAAGTTAGCTTTATACTTTTTTTTTAAGATTTATTTATTTATGCCAGGCAGTGGTGGCACACGCCTTTAATCCCAGCACTCGGGAGGCAGAGGCAGGTGGATCTCTGTGAGTTCGAGGCCAGCCTGGTCTACAGAGTGCGTTCCAGGATAGCCAGGGCTGTTATGCAGAGAAACCCTGTCTCGAAAAAAAACAAAAAACAAAACAAAAAACAAATGAAAAAGAGATCTATTTATTTATTATGTATGCAGTGTTCTGCCTGTATGTACGCCTGCAGATCAGAAGAGGGCACCAGATCTCATTACAGATGGTTGTGAGCCACCATGTGGTTTCTTGAAGTTTGCTTTTAACCACTGAGCCATCTCTCCAGCCCCAGCCTTAAAGTTTTTAAATTACGGTTTGTTATTGAAAGAGATGGGTATTAGCTCAGGAGCCCCAAGGCCAAATTCTCAACACACAGGAGGTTTATTTCCCCAGAGGGACGAAGGGCAGGGCTAAGAGACAAACACAGGAGGGAGAGGGAGAAGGGGAAGGGAACGAGGGAATAGGGCAGAGGTATTTGTCCCAAAGTGGAACAGACGTGGCCAATAGGAAAATGGCAGTTTGTAAAGGTGAAAGGTGAAACCCCCATGTGCCTTAGTTAGGGGTTTTTGTTGCTATGAAGAGACACCACGACCATGGAAACTCTTTCAAAGGAAAAAAAACAAAACAAACGAAAAAGAGATCTATTTATTTATTATATATGCACTGCTCTGCCTCTTTTTGGTTTTCAAGACAGGGTTTCTCTGTGTAGCTTTGGAGCCTATTCTGGCACTTGCTCTGGAGACCAGGCTGGCCTCGAACTCACAGAGATCTGCCTGCCTCTGCCTCCCGAGTGCTGGGATTAAAGGCGTGCGCCGCCAACGCCCAGCTGAGGTGTTTGATTTTAATTGGGCGTGTTAATTAGGAGAGCCAAAGGGGCTTCAGATTGCTGGACGTCAACACTTTGACAGCTGGACCTTGGTAGTCAGAACTGAGAGGAGGAGGTGGCCGAGAAAGGAAGGAGACCTGGGTGGAGAGCTTCACAGTGTGATCCAGCGGTTTTTAGCCAGGCAGGGGGGACGGGGAGAAGGGCAAGGCCCGGCCGAGCCACATGCTCCAGTGGGTTAGTGTCCTTTCAGTTATTATTATTTGCATGTGTGTATGTGAACCTGTGCCGTGACACGGATGTGGAGGTCACGGGACAGCTTGCTGGCGTCAGGTCTCTCCTTCTACCCCTTGGGTTCCCAGGATGGAACTTAGTCTTCAGTCTTGGCAGAGAAAGTGGCTTTACCTGCTGCGCCATCTCTGGGTTAAGGAGGTTTGCTTTACTTATTTAGTTTTTTCTCTCTCTCTCTTTTTTTTTTTTCTTCGAGACAGGGTTTCTCTGTGTAGCCCTAGCTGTCCTGGAACTCATTCTCTAGACCAGGCTGGCCTGGAACTCACAGAGATCTGCCTGCCTCTGCCTCCCGAGTGCTGGGATTAAAGCTGTGTGCCACCAACGCCTGGCTAAGTGTAGGAAGCCGGTTCCTGCATTATCCATTACAATAATAGGTGCCTGAAGACACCAAGATGTAAATTACTTCACAGGCGCTGGGTAATTTCCATTCCTTTGATCTCTGCCTATCCCGTGGCTCATTTTGGCCTGAGGAGCTAAAGCCATTCATAGGGTAACACGTCCCAGGCGGCTGGCCAGCCTTTATAAGGGATGGTTTTCTTGGTTTAGTGTCTCCACTCTGGTAAGATGCATTAAAGCTTGTCTGCAGAAGGATCCGAGTGTCCCGTGTATGATTTCTTGCTGGCGAGAAATACAGAGCGCGTGGGGACAGCTAAGGAAGTTGGTTTTAAATAGCTCGTGTCCCAGGTGGGGTTTGAAAGCTCCAGTCAGAGTCGAGGCATTGCACGGAAGGTCCCAGGCTCATTTTTCTTCACCGTGGGAGAACTGGCATGGGTATGCTCCCTTCCCCTGCCCAACAAATAAATTTCAATGTCATTCTAAGAGGGGTTTATGTTTTGTTCTGTTATTGAAGAAGAGCGACGGGGAGACAGCTCAGAGGCTAAGAACAGGTACTCAAGCGCACGCGTTTAATCTCAGCACTCAGGAGACAGAGGCAGGCGGATCTCTGAGTTCAGGGCCAGTCTGGTCCATAGAGCTAGCTAGTTTCAGGACAGCCAGGGCTAAACAGAGAAACCCTATCTCAAGAGAAAACAAAACAAGACAAAACAAAAACAACCCCCCCCCAAAAAAGAAAAAGAACCCTCCTTATACATAGCTTGGTGGAGAAGGAACAAAGTTGGTGGGCCATAGCCCTGAGGAACATGGCCTTGGTCCAGGAAGGCGGTGAGCGGTGCAGGCTCAGGGGTCGCCCCTAGAGTCCCATCGGGCAGTTAGGGTGCTTCCAGGCAAGGCGTGTGATAATATATGATATGAAGATGTCAATACGTGTCCGATTGTGTTTCTCCCCCTCTCCCGTCTTCCTCAGAGACGACCCCTGCTGCTCTTTCTAGTGAGCCTGGTCCATCTCAGTCAGCCCACACAAGCCCTCAAGCTCCCAGGCATCTCACCTCCCAAGGTGGCCTGTCAACCGGGAGGACAACCCGAGCCTCTGCAGGGGAAGTCTCTCAGTGCACCGTGCCACGAGAAGAGGCCCGGGAGAGCAGAATGAGCCTCCCTCTGCAGGGGTGTCCCCCACACCTTCTCCTCAGGACCACCTTTCTTTACCGTTCCTCTAATGAAATGTGCACTTGTGTAACGGCTAAGGGTTTCTTTCTTGTGTTCACAAAACGCAGCAAATGAACACGGGGTGGAGGGGTGCTAAAAAGTCATCTATAATTTCTAAATAAAATCATTCATTACTTCTTGAGTCAGAGGGTGTGCATGTCTCCAGGGCATCTATTTAGCAGCAAGCGTCTTTACACACCAAACCTATCTTGATGGACTTCAAATATAACTTCAAGGCTCCGGACCCTGATTGCCCCTTTTTTCTTTCTTTTCTTTTACGTGCATGAGTGGTTTGCCTGCATGAATGTCTGGGGAAGGGTGTTGGCTCCCCCGAAACTGGAGTTATAGACAGTTGTGAGCTGCTATGTGGCTGCTGGTAATTGAACCCAGGTTCTCTGCAAGAGCAACCAGTGCTCCTAACCACTGAGCCATATCTCCAGCCCTGTTTTGTTTTGTCTTGTTTTTGAGACAGGATTTCTCTGTGTAGCCCTGGATGTCCTGGAACTCGCTTTATAGACCAGGTTGACCTCAAACTCAAGAGATCTGCCTGCCTCTGCCTCCCAAGTGCTGAGATTAAAGGCAGGTGCCACCACTGCCTGGCTTATTTCCTGTTTTTTAATTTTTTAATAGGCAGGGAAAATAAACCCATTCCTGTACCTCTAGACAGTATCAAGGCAGATGCAGGAGAATCAGGAGTCTTGGGCCATTCTTGACTACATACATAGTGAGTTTCAGGCCAGCCTGGAGTATATAGGAACCTGTCTCAAAACGATGGTGTGAAAAATCAAAACCAAGATA